TTATTGTTGAATGAATTATGCATGTTTAAAAACCATATGCTGAAAGTTTTTATAATTTAGTACAATATTTAGATTTAAAACGGTACTAATTAATATATAAAATAATAAATATTAATATAAATATTTAATTTAAGTTAATAAACTATATAATTAAGACTGTTAGATTTATCTAGCGAATTCTTCACATATGTACGAATTTATAATCTGTTAAATATATATAGGCCTATATATAAATTTCAAATAAAGTCTATTTTTATTAAATCATGTTAAACCAATTACATAATTTTATAAGGACCAAAAATATTAGAATTAAAAGAAAGTTTTATCGCTTTTAAGTGTTATATAAATAATATTTAGGCATTTATGCAACCTTTTAATTATATTCGATTTGTGATAATTTATGTAAATAATTAAATCTTAAAATTAAAATAATAAAAATTGATGTTATTAATAAGATGAAACATTATTTCGTAATAATTTTTTAATACACTGAGACGTATTAATTTTAAGTTCATTTTTAAACTACGATTTTCAATTGCTTTTAAAAATATTATATAAAAATAATTAATAAAATTTTACAAACAAAAACGTAATATTTAAATGTCATATAATAATATTAAAACTAAAGCAATTGAAAATTGATTTTGATAGACCTGCAGTCCAATCTCTAATAATGGCTATCTCTAAACAGCGGCCATTTTTGATTCTTCAAAGGCCATTTTTTTATGTTACCATTAATGGACGTTGTTCAGAGACATAAACACTTTATTCTATTTAATATTTACGTAATATCAAGAATAAATATTGTGTTTCTAAATGTATTTACTACGTTAACATTTATTAAATATATATGAATAAATATTTAAAATTTTCAGTTATTATATAGAATAATTTTATGAAATATATTTATTAGAATAATACGGTTATATTATTAATATTAAAAACAAATTAATTATGAATTAAACAATAATTGTATGATAGTATTGTAGTAAAATTATATTAATTAAAATTAATTTAATTATAAGATTATTAATATTTTTATTTTGTGGAAAATACACAATCTACATTTAATTATGTAAATTATATATTTTGCTGGCTTATAACAGAAGTTAGATTTTTCTAATCGAAGTATATCGTAGATTTCGTGACATACGTTAACAATCGAAAGCTATAAAGGTTTTAAATTGATACAATAAATGCAATTCGTGTAAATATAAACCAATGAGGAGGATATTTTATGTCTTTTGTCATCAAAACTTAAAGATGTCATTTTATGATTTTTCTCAAGGTTAATTCAATAGCCATTTACTCGAAACTATAATATATGACATCTTTATAAAATATTAAATGTAAAAATATATTAAATCGAAATTTTAATTAATTATATTCCCAATATAATATTCTCGTGGAATTTATACAATATTTTAAAACATACTCGTAAATAATTTATACGGTTTGTTAATAGACCTATAAAGATATTTTAGATGATATAAAATATGTTAAAAATGTTATTATCAACGTTATCAAAAATCTCATAAATCTGAATTGAATGAGCTGTAGAATAAATTACATATATTATTACCGACGAATGTTCGATAGTAATAAACTGTTTATCGAAATTTTGATTTAAATTTGGATAATTTCTTCTTTTATTATATTTGTTAAGCAATATAATAAACAGTGTTTATTTTTATAAATATTCCATTATCGTTTTATACAATATTAAAAGTATTTAGTCCATAAAAAGTAGTTAGAAAATGATATAGGCTTATATTTATTTAATTTACATACATTTCTGTTATCATAAATGCGATTAGAAAAGAGAAAATTTAAAACATTAAATAGAATTAATAATAATTAGCATAAAATGGCGTAATTATTAATAATTAAATAGGATTACTTATTGAGAATTATACCATTTGCTTTTTTAATGAGTTTACTTTTAAGTGTATTGGAGTTTACTATTATAGGCTATATTTTATTTTATTACTATTATGATTTTATTTTATTAAATATCTAAAAAATATTTTAAAAGCTATATTTAATGTAATACTAATAATGAGAAAATGAAGATACAATTATTAAAACACAATGCTTTAAAATATTTTGGAGTTTTTGAAATTTTATTATAATTATTATATAGAAAATAAATCATATTAAATAATTTATGACATTTAAAATGCTACTGTTCATTCAATATCAAAGTCAATATAATATTTTTTTAAATTTCGTTTATCTTATACTTCTAAAAGTAAATAATACTTAGACATTTAAGCAAATTTTAATAAATTTACTTATTAAAATTACTAAATTCATATCAATAGGCCTGAGTATATTTTGTGATTTTGTTTCAGTTCAATATTGAAACAAAATTTTTATTTTTATGTCATACTTTATAATGAATAATTCTTATTTGAATAAGCTTCATGGTATCAGAGTTCTTAACAAATTTATTCAAATCTTTAGATTAACGTCAATTTAAAATATTTTGAACACTGTTTTAAACAAAATGGAGATTGCAATTTTTTCATAAATCGTTTCTTTTTGATAAGGTGTATTCTAAAATTTTCAAATCGTATCCAATAAATTAAAAGATAAAATCTATACATATGGCAGAAAAATACGGACAGAAAATAATTTTTATTGTTCAAAGAAATGTTCAATCATAAAATTTTTTACTTATATTCAATCTTGTATATAAACAGACTTGAAATTCAATTTATTATATCATATTTTATAATTATTATACATTTCTTATTAATAAATAAGTTCTGGTTTGTTATAGAACATTTATATTTAATATAACTTACAGAACATCAAACTTCACAAATGAAATTGTAAATGCTTTCATTGAAATTTGGCTTAAACTTTATTATTAAATATATATATTTTTTTTAATTTTAAATTTAGTTCAGTATAAAATAATCCTACCTAAAGGTATTTTAAATTAATAATTACACTTTAAATGCTTATGACATATAGGCTAGATCATATGGTATTCAGATAGGCTATTATATTATTTTTTTCGGTTTTTCTTCAGACTTACTTATAATGGTGCTTGATATATAGGTTTATAAGAGTGTAAACTTATATAACTTTTTGATAAAAAGCTTATTCCCCTCCCTTATTTTTCTTAAACCAGTAATTCTTGTATGATCACAAAATGAGGACACGAAAATCATTAGCTTAGAAAAACTTCAAGGTCATGCTAATCATTTAATAAACTATAAAATTAAAACTATTTTATGAATTTTTATTTATATATAATAAAAAATTATGTTGACTTTATATAAAATTCAATATTACATAATGTAACTCTGATAATTATAAATTTTATACAAATTTAATGACTAAATTTATATGAACTTATAGTTTCAATTTTATGCTCATTCATGTCCGTAATTACTTTAAAAATATTTACATTTTAATAGAAATCATTCAAGATATTCTTAAAATAGTTTTCTTCAGAAACGTGATTTTGTAACTGTATAACTGATAAAAAAAATTTAACAATAAATATTGCAATTTATACTATTAATTATTATAAACTTTGCATTAAATCGTAATAAAGTTAGGAAATGTAATAATTTAATTAATTATCAAACAATTAATTATTGGCAAACAAATATATAAAGGATACAGCACTGAATAAAGTGAATCTATAGATAGCCTGAGGTCTTAAATCATTAGTTTATTAAAAATAAAAACAGACATAAATTATTTAATTTTAATCATAAAAGATGTTTAATTGCATCCAAAACTTCTAAAATTTAGAAAAAAAATATATAAATAAATAGAAAATTTAAACTAATTTTAACAATTTTTTTATTTGCGGGTAAACGTTAAATTACTGTATTTACTATTACTGTAAATTACAGTATTTAAATGTAATTAAATTGTTCTAAAATGTATTTTATTAATCAAATGAAATATATACATTTATATATATATATATTCCTTTATATTAATTTTATATTATTACAATCAATTAGCAAACATTGCAA